ATGACAGATTATAAATTACAAATAAATGCACTTAATTTTTAAATTCTTAGCTCCTATGGCTTCACTAGCATAGAAATAATCCCAGCATTTTCATTTTTATTTTTTCCTCTCCTCAGGTAATCAGTTTCATGCATAACAGTTCTCTAGTTTGTTTGGGGTTTTTTGTTTGTTTTTTGAGGTAGGGTCTTATTATGTAGTTCAGGCTGGCCTTGAACTCAGTTTGTATCCCAGTTTGGCCTCAAATTAATTACAATCCTCCTGTGTCAGCCTCCCAACCTCTTGGATTAAGATGTGCACCATTATGCCCTGCCAATTCTCTAGCCTTTTAAACAATTTAACCTTTATGAAATTTAAAATCTTCATTTAATTTTTTTTAATATCATTCTTAGTTACACACATGACTGCCTATGTCACAAAGTCTATTGAATGAGCAGACAATGAAGAATCCAAACAAAGGAATCTGGAGGGAAAAGGTATTCCTTTTGTATCTTATAAAAAATGAGGTCTCTGCAGGTTGATATCACAAATAATTGTCCCACAACCACTTGTAAATATGTGGATTTTCTGTACTGCATAGAATCCGATGGGTTTTATACTCTCTGCTAGGATTATCAATATTGTTATATTGTCTCATCATCAACATTTCCACAAGCCTTCAGTCAAGACCACCAAAGCAGCAGTTAGAGTTTATTAAATATTTATTGTTTGTACCTAACCATTATAAAGTCGACAATGATTACTTGCCTTCTATTCTTTTCAACCATTTCTCCAAACCAATAGTAACTTAAAAAGTCATAACTACCTGCATGCCATGATGAAAAGTGAAATGGAAACAGTACGGTGATTAAACCTAAATGAAAGTTGTCTGGTGAAACTTGTCAACATTGATGAGATCAATTGTATTAGTTGACTATTTTGCAAAGTTTGGTGCAGCACGATCTGCAGCTGAGTAACGTGAATACAAGTGGCTGGAGAAACTCGTAACATTTTAAACAATCTGCTTTTTTTTAACTACATAGTCATCATATACATCTTGGTAAAATGTGGTTAAAGCTGTTATGTTAGCTTTCTCACTTACTGCACAAAGTACGGTATGTTCTCCATCTGTTATGTGATCCAAACTAAATAGCTACACTTAGGATGTGTTCTTACTTAAGGCAGCTCTTTTATGAAGGTGTACTATACAAGCATCCAGGTGTCAGCAACCTGCCCAAATGGTTCCCATTAAATCTGCTGGAGGTGGTGACATTTGAAATGTCACAACGTCTCTCAGAGTAGCTAATTGCATTAAATGCTAAAATAACTGTGTTTTGTACTGTACCTCCAGATGCTTTGGTATTAGCAAATTGACTGCAGCAAAACCTTAGCAGCATGTACCATCTAATATGGTTTATGCTCTCAGAGAAACCAAATAGGTAAATCTACTTCTTTTGGAAGTGATCAGAACTTTAGATAGGTTTTTTCAGCTTCTGTATCCATAAATAAAGATTGGTTAATCTAGCTACTTCAGTCCTAAAGAATAAGAACTCATATGGTTTTTCTTCACTATTTTCAAACTCCTTCAGGCATCAGAGTAATGCTCAGAATTTTCCAGGAAAGTTTAAGTTAGTGTTGAGGTGGTTTAATAACAGCCATACTCAAAGAACCACTCTGTTTAGTAAAGTGACTTCAACTGAGAAAGAGCCACAGAAATGTCAGGTGAAAAAATCAGAATCCAAAAAATAAGAAGTAAAAAGGACATGAATGTAATAAAGATGACATTTAATATGAATAAATATGAAATCTTGGACCAAAACACCAGCATCCTGAACACAGACTGTGGGAATGCAGTCTGTGCATTGGTGAGCACAAGGAAAGGTCAAAGCACAGGGCATCACTAATGAGCTGGTATAAACCTGAAGCAAATTAATATTTTATTTACAAGAAAGAAACCTCTGTCATTCCCCGTTCTGGGCTGGTCAGAAAACAAAACAAAACACTATCGCATTCGGTTTTGAGCCTCAGCTTTAAAGAAAGATCCTTCCAGCTGGAGTGTGTCCACACCCAGGTGCGGGGATCTAGGAACACTGCCACAGGGTGGACACCAAAGGGGGATAACCAGGTAGAAGTAGTATGCAAGTGGAAACAGAGTGAACACAGGAAGAGTAACTGTCCCCAAATCCTGAAGCACGCCCACATGGAAAATGGGTTACACCTGTACTGACTGACTTTAGAGACATGACAGGAATAATAAGTAGACAGTCCAGAGGAACCTAACTTCACCGTAGCTAAGTGATTCTACTTTGTCTCATATTAGTGATGAAGGGGTAGTATGTTTGGGACTGGTGGTGTTTGAACAAAGGCCATCTGACCAGCTAGTTGGTCTTCCTGTGGGGAAGTTTTGGCCTTTCGATGGTGTGGGATGGAATAGATAATATTTAGGTTTATACAAGTCCTTAAAGTTTTTTGAGTCCATGAATGATCAACTGTCTTGTGAAAGTGGGTGGCATTCACCACCTTTGGGGGCAAAAAAGAAGAAATAACACCAGTAGAAGTTTAATACACTTTTTTCCTCTATCTAATAAACAAAACAAGCACTGTCTATTTATAGAGTAAACTATTTATATATAAATAAGTTGTTTTTCTTTTAAGACTTTCAATCATGTGCTGCCCTCAACAGGAAACTTGAGATGGCTGAGGGTACATTTTGAGAAACACAAAGCTAAAGTTGAAAATAAACAATTGTAGATATAAGCAAACTTACGTGAATCCTAATTTTTTTAGAACAGAGGCGAAAAATCTTGAGGGACTTTATTCGTATAGCAGAGAAAACACCACTATTATCATGGCAAACATCCAGGACACCAGACATTTGGTGATACTGTTGAAAATGGGATTCATTAGTTGATAAGGCTGCTTAGTGGATAATATCCAGCAAATTTATAAAATATTTCAACTTAAAAGATGTTTTCCTATGTTTTGGGTCAGAGCTCTTTGTTGAGAACCTAATATTCTTATTGTAGAAACAGCTTTTTGCCAATGAGTGTACAGTGTGGGCATCTTTGCTAGTGAACACACAATCTGTTTATTAACTTGGCCACTTAATGAAAGAATGTGTCTTTGTATTTGAAAACTTAAAAATATCACTAGGCGAGGCAGTGGCTGCCACTCCCACCACAATGTGGCCACAAAATGAAACATCATTTGTATCACTGCTGGAAGAAACTCAAGGACCAGAAAGCTCAGAAGAGAAGGTCTACATCCTAGACAGTTGGTGCTTCTCTGCCTAGAACACCATTATGTCTGCAATGACATAGGAGATAAAGGATGTAGCTTTCTGGGAAATATGCCTCTTCCCCTCAAGTGTGGTGATATTAATGATTATTTTCTCTAGGCATCAACATATGACATCTGCCTCATCTTAGCCTCCTACCCCAGTATTACAAATAAAAGTTTTTCACAAATAGACATAAAATTTAGCTGAGCATAGTTGGGAGACTCATGTTTATAGTGCCTTCAACACAGAACAGTATGAATCAGTAGTGTCACCCTAAGAAAAACTTTGTTTCAAGATTAACATAGGAACCCTTTTTTCTCATATGACATGTGACAAATGTGTGGTACTAGTCACAGAGGAAGGCTGGACAAGAGAAGAGGGAGACACAGCTTAAGCTAGTCACCAGCCTTATTGCTGGGGGATTTTAATGATACTGGAATTTAAGGGACACATAGTTCAAATAGTATGGCGACATTCAGGGATATATATAAGGTATCTGTGACAAGGAAGTTGCTATTAACTTTCATCCCAGTCATGTCAACTGTCACTGTTGTGAATTCATCCTGTGGAATATGCTCATCTTTGTCACATCCAGGAACGTATTCTATGGTGTTTGATTCAAACAGCCTCACAGTGATTTATACAGTATTCCCCCAACTATAAGCATATACGTTATGAAAAATCAAATTTTAGAATTTCCTACTCAGGAGGTTGTTGGGTACAATGGATTATATAAAATCTCTTCAACCCCTTACTTTGCGCACAGTTAAGGCTGAATGGAATGAGGAGAAGGTTAAAGGGAAACAGGTAAGAAGAAGAAAATGAGATCAAGTTTGCTCCTCATCACCTCTTCACTATCAATTCAACCACAGATGCTCTTTTCCTTCTCTCTGCTCCTCAGACAGCTGGCACCAGGAACCAGTGCTCTCATCAGTCCAGCCAAGTGGATAAGCCCAGGGAAGCATGAGGAAGATCTTGTAGGACAAGCTCTGTTCATTATTCAGTAATAGTTTTGCAGTGTGCAATTCCTTTCTCAAGAAGTAGATGCAGAGATGGAAACATTCATTGTGAAGATACATCCCAGCCAGTCAGAATATTCAATATTTGGTGTTATTGGTCCATTGAGGTCTCTGACACACTTGTTATTCTATTTGTTCTCATGGGAGTTGGGTCAAGTGCATCAAAACTACAAGGTAATCCATAGGCCTAGGCTTTTACTCTTCAACTAGTAATCTGTTCATTGCTTGTGCTTTTACATCAAAGTGAAATTAGCAAACCCACTCTATTACCTTTCTGCTAAAATGGTGGTAAGGCACAGTCTTTATGTTTTCAGGAAATTTTATAAAAGCAAATTGAAGATAATTTTTCTTTTGTAAGAATAGGAAAACTAGTGAATAAGATCAGAAGTGCCATGTTTACAATCTGTTGCAGTAGACAAAACTACAGTGAGACACCTACCATCTGTTACCCAAACTGTGACCTAGAGGAAGCTTATTTTAGGAAAAAGGAATAAGAAGTTGTGGACCATCCATGCTTACAGCGTTTAGCCTGGTCCAGTCAACACAACACACCAATGCTTAATGAAGAGAGAGCAGACATAAACTGAGTATGCTAAGGACCTCCTTTTCCAAATCCTCCCTGGGAGGGAGCAAAGCCATCTCTTAAGATCCAGGCTGAGCACAGTATGTAGCATCTCAGTCACTCTGACTCTTCCTTTTCATTTTGTGTTTCTGTTCCCCTGCAGAGCTCTCAGCATGGTGGCTCCTCTACTTCACTGGCATCCACCAAAGTCTGCAGCTCGATGGATGAGAATGATGGACCCGGGGAAGGTGATGAGCTAGGGACTTGATATTTAAGAGAAGGTTCAGCTCCTGTAGGGAGCACAGCATACATTGACTATCTTACATATTGAATGGAAGGAAAAGGAAAATTTTAAGCAGCTCATAAGATCAATCACAAGGGGATAAGATGGACTATGGCTTCAACCAGCAATGGGATCTGCACTTTGAGAACAGGAGGGTGGAGGTGGTATAATTGGGAGGCACTTCACATCCTCTCAGGATCCTTATTTCCAAGCAAGGCCAGCTATTGCCTGCTTTGGAAACAAGATAGGGTGACTGCTGCCTCTGTGTTCCCAAGCTCTGCTCATGTTTCACATATTAAGGACTGTTGACTCTCTGGGAAGTCACAGTCTCACAGATGTGCTCTAGCTTGAGTAAACTCGGGGTATTAAAAGAGAGATTTACAAAAAGATTTCATTGAGGGAAATAGAAAAATTTTCTTTTTTTTCCATAAGTGTATTCAATTTCTAATTTCTCTGTGATGTGGCCTAATGATTTGGGTTCCATAACAAAAGTGTTCGCTACTTCATCAGATGCTTTTGAGGCAAGAATGTTCAACTCTCTCTTAGTTCCTATTCTATAAAACAGGGATTGCAAAACACTCCCATGCCCTCTCTGGGGATTGTTACCAAGTTTAAATCCATTAGAGAAAAGTATTTGAAAAAAATATACGTCTTCTATTCAAACTACTTTTAAAAATCAGCTAATTTGTTTTAAATGTTATGTCTTGCTATTTTCCCACAAAGCACCCTTCATGTTACATATTTTTTAATTACATGAAGTGTGTGATTTGCATTAGAATTATTTCCTGGCTACCACACAATATCAGGAATTATTGCAGATTTATACATGAATCACCTACAGATCTCTTTTGTTCCAACTCGTTTTCACCTAATGAAATGAAATAGCCCTTGGTTAAGCTTTTGGCTGAACCTTTTTAGCCAAAAACCTAAAAGGGTCTCTATCAATAGTCAGGGAAAAGAAATTCCAGGCCTGGTTTGTATTTGGATGGGTGCTCTGGTGAATGCTCCCACTGGGAGGAAAAATGAACTATGTCTTTCCATTTCAATCTATAGGGTCACATTCATCCCCATCAACCAAAGATGATTACTTTAACTGCCCGGGTACTAAAGAGCCTTAGAACTGTCACATAGATGATGTTTCAGAAATTCAGGTGTTTTGCAGTGAATTCGAAACATTGCCAATCGTGTCTCCCATTCCCATAGAGGACACAGAAATCCCCAGGCTGACTCCTTGACACAAAGGCAGGATTATGGCTTATTTTCCAGGTAGGAAAAAGGAAGGGCTCCAAGCTCTCACTCGATCCAGGGACTGCCCATGTAGTTTCTCATAGGGAAGAGTAAAACACTGTCCACAAAGAGGTGAAGAGGCTGTGTAAATAAATGCCGAGGGCCATAGCAGCAGTGGATATCCCACACTTAGACAACACTTTCCAGAAGTTCCATCACCTTAGAATCCAGAGTGGTGTGGACTCAATATCATCACACCAAAATAAAGGTCTTAAAGTAGGTAGCCAATAATTGTTAGTTTTCATACGTCATTCCCCAATGATATGGAGTGATGGTGAATTTGCAAATTTCACCAGAAAGCTGGTTCACCTCCTAAGGTTTTCATTTAAGTAGAAATGCTTAATCTGAGTTTATGATGAAAGGTCAGAAGAGGAGCACATTTATAAGACCCGCTAGGCCCCCATCACATTTTGCATTCAAACTGCTTGGGAGAGAGCTAGGATTTACTTTTAAGCAAGTAAGTGTTAGAGCCCAGCTATAAAAGGCTTTTTACATCCCTAACATGTTAAAAGTTATCCTGTATATTTATGTGACCTAAGTGTGGCTTATTTAAGTTTATAGCCTTGGATATTTGAAGCATTATTAGACATTTTTTAAATATTTCAAAATGCATTTTGGGGGGACAAATGCAATGTGTTACTGACTCTAACATAAATGAAAGTACAATCCTGCTCTGTTCACAAACATAATAAAAATTACAATTTTAATTCAACATCTGCTATGCAGGTCACTGGTGAGAACATTTGTCTAAAATTTTCTCATTGGTACTGGGGAGGGGTGGCAATCAGCGCTTAGTTCGTAAGAGATTTTACGGAGATCACCATTTCAGGATGTAGTAAAACTGTGTATCCAAACAGCAGGCATTTTTCATGCTCATACCGTGTCAAGCAGCCCAGAATCCCTTAAGAACTGAATTTTCCTCCTGTGCCATATATAAGAATGTCATTTATCCATTCACAGTTGGTATTTGGTAGATGTTATTGATCAAATTGGCATGAAGTTAAAAAAAAAAAAGTAAAACTTTCTCTTCAGAATTCTCATTGCAGCATAAAATATAAGTTGCCCTTTATGTAAGTGGAGGTGGACGCCATATGTTTCCTTTTATTTTATCATCTTCATTAAAACTGTTGAGTATATTCAAAGTCAGGGGGGCCAATCCCATCATGTATGGAGAATGACATATTGATTATGAATCAATTCCAATCTATTAGATGATACTTCTAGATATCTCCTTGTATAACATCTGTGTCCCCTTTTACACCAATAAAAACATACTAATGGTCCTTTCAGAAGTGTCAGAGGAAGGCTTCCAGATTCCAGCCACGATAACAGAACGATATAAAGTCGGAAGGACAATAGGAGATGGAAACTTCGCTGTTGTCAAGGAATGTGTAGAAAGGTAAGAAGGATATCATTTGCATGGAACTTTAAAGGGAACATTTGGCATTGTTTTTAAGACTTGTCTCTATTTGTAGTCTGTGGCACATATGGAATAAGTTAATGTTTCAACCCCAGATGCAAAAAAAATCTAACAACAGACTTGAAAAATGTAGTGATTCTTAGAGTCGATCTATTTTTTAAAGACTGATTTCTTTTTCTAATGTACTCAACAAAACTTTGCCAGCTCTTTCAGGTAAGTTTTCATCTTGTTTTTAAAAAATCATATTGGGGAGGCCTGCTGGTTAGCTCAGTTGCTTAAGTGCTTGCCTATGCAAACGCAGTCAGGCACAGATACAGCGGTTCAATCCCCCGCTCCACATGCCTTACCAGACGCGCCCTTAAGGCAGCCAAAGCCAGCCAAAAGAAAAAAAAATCCTTCTAAAACATTATTGAATAGTTTTTCCCATACTTCTTTTGAAAAGTATTTTGTAGCGCTCAGAATATTCTTGTAAAGTTTGATCTCAAACACATACTACTATAAAATTATGATAACCTTGAAAGGCTTTTATATATATATATCACCAACAAAAATGGTTTTGCCACTTAAAATTGCAGCATTAAAATGGATGATCCAGGTAATTGCAGGTGGGATGGAAGGTTTTAGAGTGAATGACTTATTCCTTGGTTCTTGATGCCTAATGGAGGACATAGCTCTTAACTACTAGATGGAGAAGTGACAGCTGATAAAGTTACAGCCCACACTAAGGCGACTTCAAACCCTCAGCTCAATGTCAGATTTGGATTTTTGTTCTTGGGCAGTTTGCTTTAGGGAACTCGATCAGAGCTCACAACCTCCTCTTGGAAGTGGCTGGGCGGGGCTGGCAGGTCAGGAGGAGCGAGGCTCACTTCTGGAGAGTGCGGCTCTCAAGAGCTGGCCCATCATCCTTCTTGCTCCCAGGAGGGCGGGCACTGCCAGATCTTCAACACCGCTTGTAAGTCATACTCCTATGGTCTATACTACCAAATGAAGGAGATTCCTCAGACTAGAAGACAGACAACAAAGATTTAGTCTGGAAGAGACAGAGCTGGTTCTTCTCCAAGGGCACTGATTTAGAAGCACAAGCAGTGCCACATTAGAGATCGAAGTCTGTGATGAGCCTCAGCTACCATGAGGGGTCAGTCTCATCACTGCTTACTCGTGTGTTTCCTGCCCCCTCCCTGCACGACTTGGAAAAAGCTCCCCATTAAGGAAGCCGAGCCCTCATTAAGCTACCCTTGAGCTCCAACCTTGCTCCACTCCACCATGCCAGCTGGGCACAGTATGTGCAACTGTCAGCAACTCCCTGTAGCTGCCCCTTCTTCATGAAAGAAGGGCCTGAGCAATCCGAAGCTGGAAAGTCCCTTTTGTGGATCCTACCAGATCACTTTCTCCTCTCTTTCCCCCATTTGCTAATCCTCCTCTTCAGAGTTCTGCCAGTGGTTGTCATATTGGTTGCAAAAATAAAAAAAAGTTGCTTTGCTTTCCTAGACCTCCTACCTTCTAAAACATTTAGGTTCTAAAACACTGTTTGCTGACATAATCTATCTATGAGACCCTTACCTTATGATATTTTGTGTAATTATCATAGCAATCCCACAAAGTCAGTATAGACTTGTTCTATAGAAAGAAAGACTGAACAAGTTAAACACCAAAGGTGATTCAGCTGAGGCACAAATCAAAGCTGCGCTCCCAAGCCCACGATTCTCACCTCTCTGCCTCTAAGGGGTCTCCTTCCAGAGCCTGGCATAGCTGAGCCAAGACCACACAAATCTCTTTTAGCCCTTTACAGATGAGAAAAATTGGGAAAACCCTTCCTGAGATGGTAGGAGGTACATAAGCAAGTGTGCGTGTGTTTACCTAAGTTTGTATTTCATTGATCCTTTTACTGATTGTAAATCTAACCCTTTTTATTTTCATGGTAGCAGAAAGCCCTGTTTCTAGCAGCTTGCCATGGCTTTTCTCAGTGGGGTGTCTGGTTATTTGCCAATGTTCATCATCTGTTAAGGCTTACACGGTGGCCATGTGCTATTTCTCCTAGCTGATCCACATATTAGGATGGCATCTTAGTACTGCTGTGCCTGTCTTTTCACACTAGTGATTTCTTATTTCTCCATCCAGAATGAATTCTTTTCATTCTAAGCTGTATTATATTTATTTTGCATAAGTTCACATCTTGAGTCTCACTGTATGAAACTCCAGAGTCTAAATACCAGATTGCTTCCAAAGTGTTAGTATTCAGCTCCTGCTGAACAAGGACATATGGCATGTGCCCTCTCTCCCTCCCCAGAGGTACCATGAAACATTCTTTTAATATTTTCCAGAGGGCCAAGAAAACAAAAGCGAGCTAAAAATGTTGTGAGTGGCACACATGGCTTGTGGGTACATTCTGCCATATTTTGAGAAATGAATATATATTAACATGGGCCAGCTTGTTCCTCTACTTTTAATAGTATGCTATATGGACAGATTTTCTACAGCAATGGACTCAATAACAGGGCCACACAGGTCTTCTGTAGTCTTGTGCCAGTGTATATTTGGTAGTGCCCTATGGCTAGGTCCGCTGAGATTTCTGCCTGTGCTCCACAAGGAAGTTTTCAGGTGGCCTCAGTGACCCTGAGAACAGGCTGAGGGAAGTAATGGCTGGTGACTTCAACTGAGAGAAACATGCTTGATTATGAGTCTGTTCTATGGAACATATTTTGAGTTCACCAAGGCAAATTCATGGAGCTGCTGTGCATTCAGGAGATGTGAGAGCACCTTGTAGGGCATGCTAGGAGGGACCCTCCACGTATCACTGGCTTGGCGCATATGGAGTAATGGCACAGAAGTCAGCGGTATGTGTGCTCTAGTCTCGAACAAGCTCTCGGCTCTCCTCCCTCTTGCACTATTCACATTTTTAGTGATAAGGCACCAGAACTGCTTTAAAATTGTAACTGTTCATTCTCCTCTCTGTCTCTCTGTCTCAGTCTCTGTCTCTGTCTCTGTTTGTCTGTCTGTCTGTCTGTCTCTCTCTCTCTCTCTCTCTCTCTCTCTCTCTCTCTCTCTCTCTTTCTTTGTCTCTGTGTCTGTGTCTGTGTCTGTATTTGTCTCTACCTGACTCTCTCTCTGT